AAAAGCATTTTCAGTGACAATGTTTGGATTTGAAATCAAACTAATAGATAAATGTGGTAAACAGCCACGGATCAGTAGCGGACTCCTGTGTGAAAACTGCTTCCCCTCTCACAAGAGACACCCAGAGGGGAATTCCCCCCATTTTCAAAAATGAAATGCAGGCCCTGAATAAATGTCTAAAAATCCTGATAGCCGGTTCTTTAATCAGCGGTAAATCTCCATCACCTGTGGGCTTTCACATGGAGCAGCATTAACTACAGAGCCGTTGTTCACCGACAAGCTGCGCAAAACCACGATCATATTTTGCGCATGTTTTGCGCAGCTTGTCGGTGAACAACGGCTCTGTGTAGTTAATGCTGCTCCATGTGAAAGCCCGCAGGTGATGGAGATTTACCGCTGATTAAAGAACCGGCTTTACTGACAAGATGCGCGTTAAATATCGCATGCGATTTATCGTGCAGCCCTAGTCCTCACTCAAAAATTTTTTACTGGAGCAGATGCAATTTCCTGGTGCCTTTTAATTAAACAATTGCTTTTATATCCTAAAACGGTTACCACATTCCTGACAAGGTTTCCCAAAAATTAACACAGCCTTTAAAAGTCTAGTAAGTTGTTTTGAACAAAAAAAAAATTGACGTACTGTAGCTAGCTATCTAGCCTAGCAAAGACGTCAGATAACTGCATTATAACAAAATAGTGTAAGTGTAACTGTAATTTAATGCTGCAACGAAGACTACATGATGCCTTTAAATGCAACAGGTCAGGTGAACAAATGATGAACATTCACTTTAATGCCAGCTTGTTTAGTTTGCTTTGTCTACCTGTGTTTACCTTGCTGTGTCACAGGAGTGCACCAGGTGCGAATAGTGAAAACATGGAATGGAGTTTAATTCTTATATACTGAATGAGCCAAGTGGAATGGATTTGAGGAAGCAGCAGCATGGAAGTCAAGGCTGTAGCTAAAACGTGGAATGGTGTTTAGTTTATTAGGGCATTCTTCAAGTGGAATGGATGTGACTGATGGTGCTCTGAAAAGTGAACAGACATATGTGCTAAATTAGAGACAGTAAAGTGGATGTGTCCAATATCACTGAACTTTAAAGGGGTCATATGATGCAATTTCAATTTTTCCTTTCTCTTTGGAGTGTTACAAGCTCTTGGTGCATAAAGAAGATCTGTAAAGTTGCAAAGACTAAAGTCTCAAATCCAAAGAGATATTCTTTATAAAAGTTAAGACTTGTCCATGCCCTCCTAAAACGCCTCGTTTAAACACGCCCCCACATATCTACGTCACTGTGTGGGAAGATTTGCATAACACCGCCCAAATGTTCACGCAAAGAAAGAAGGCTTCTTAACTTTTATTAACTTAGTAACTTTTATTCTCGCTCTAGTATTGTTGCCGCCGCCGCCATGTCATGAAGGCACTGTGTGTTTCATTGTGAAAGCGAAACTACTTTGTTTGGCCTTCCAAAAATGGACACGACTAGAAATCAGTGGTTAAGTTGTATTTACAACACTGTTCCAGAACACTTCAACCCAAATATTCAGATGTGTGCAAAGTGCATTTTGCGGAGGATGAGGACTGTTATGTGAGAGTAGCCTACAATGCCGGTGTCTATTTCTATAAAGTGGGGCAGTTCCAACTTTGCACGGACAGTCTGGCGCTTCTGACTCACAGCCTGTAAGTA